ACCAAAGATTTAAGTTCTTGTTGCGTACCACGCCAAGTGAAATCGTTATCCTTTTCATCATAACTTAAATACTCAATAAGATTTGCCATTTGGAGACAAAGATTCGATAAAAGCTTTATAAAATGTTGAAGATTACGGAGCGGTTACGAACACGTCTGCAGAGAGACAGAGAGAGACAGAGAGAGACAGAGAGAGACAGAGAGAGACAGAGAGAGACAGAGAGAGACAGAGAGGGAGGGAGAGAGAGAGAGAGAGAGGGGGAGAGAGAGACAGAGAGAGGGAGAGAGAGACAGAGAGAGAGGGAGAGAGAGTATTTTTGACATGACACTCTTTTTTGGTCTTCAGATGCGCAGTCGTTTGAGATGTTCGCGGGATACTGCGGGTTAGCTTTACATTACAGTCAGGTAAATCAAACATTGTTTGGGTTTTAAGTTGATAAATATAAAAATTTTAAAAATCACTTTTGGTATTTCCCCATTTATCTTTTCGTATAAATGAAGTCACGTTTAGTTTTACCATAAACGCATCCCACACGGAAAGGAGTGAGTATGCATTCAAAGCCATCAAAGTCACAAGCGAAATTTTGAGTTTGGTGGTCATAGCAAGGGGTTAATTATCTACGGTCTAGGGGCCGACTAACCTCTCCCTTAGGCTTTGGGCGAGCTTCCTGATCAGTCTGTAATTCTTCGGATAGCGGTGTCGTGGTCGAAATCTCCGGCGTACCCGTAAATGCTTCGCGCTGCCATACGACGGTTCAGCACTCGATATCTGRAAGTATGGTCCTAAATTCTTAAATTAACAACACAGAAACCAACAATAAAATCTGGTATTCCGAACGAAATAACCTGTTTAAGAGACTCCTTAATGCGCATGCGCCGTTAACATGCCTCTTACCCGTTCTTGGTTTTTGGACAATATTGATGTTCGATTGAATTTTTCTCATTTTTTCTGCCTTTTTTTCAGGTCTACAACTGTTTATGCCGTGCTCAACAAAAGCACCAGGTTGCGTTAGAAGTTCTAACTTACCACTGTCGTGGAACGGACAAAGAAATCGAAGAATTTGCCATGGGTTCTCAATTGGCCATGGTCCCTCCTGACTTTTACAGGTATGTTTGCTAATTGGGCCGCCTACTCAGCCAATTCCCAATTCTCTCACTAACTCAGCCGCCTACTCAGCCAATTCCCAATTCTCTNACTAACTCAGCCGCCTACTCAGCCAATTCCCAATTCTCTCACTAACTCAGCCGACTACTCAGCCAATTCCCAATTCTCTCACTAACTCAGCCGCCTACTCAGCCAATTCCCAATGTAATCGTAAATCTTGATTAGAGTTCTTTAAACTAGCAAAATGTGTGAATAAAATAAATTTTAACCCAATCTTTGTTGCTGTACTACGAAAACTGCAACGCAATCGAAACTTCAACGATCGTTGTCCGCCATCTTGAATTTTTGAGAGGAGTGAGACTGGTGAGAAGTATGCCTTGATTACATGCTCCAGTGATTTCCAGTTTACCGCCTATTTCAATTTCATAACCGCCTACCAACAATTTTATTGACAACTCTGGTATGTTGTGTCTAGTTACTATTACATCCATAGTTTCTACTTAACACCCTGATATCTCTCCTCTCCTCTCCTCTCATCCAGGGGATTTCGCTTCTCTCAGCTCAAACGAGTGATAGCCAATCAACGAACATTTTGTTCGTAGCTCAATATTTTTAACTCTATACCTGATTGAAGTTAAATTGGAGTGGTCTCTCTTCACCTGTACTGCACTGCGCTGTTCTGTCTTCTCTTCTTTTCACCACTCCTGCTGTCCTGTCCTGCCCTATCATATCCATTGAAACACAGCAAGCTTGCTCCCTCTTAATGGCCTATTGGATTTCGTCAATCCCGTGTCATGACCGTAACAGTGACCTTGTAACAATGTCTTCTTCATTCCTTTAGCTGGGACTTCGACATCCACCAGGATTACGATCTGCTGACCAAATACTTCATTCATATGACACAGGACTTTTTTGAGTCATGCCAAATCAAGTAAGTAAAGGAGTTAAAAATGGTCACCCGTAAAAAGCCGGGCGCTCGGTTAATAGAGGTGACGATTGTTCAACGGTCGGTTAAAGGAGGGTACCTCTTATTAGGTTTAGCCTTCAGGGCCCAGTTGTACGAAGGCTGGATAGCGCTATCCGAACGATAAATCATATTCAGTGGTTAAATTTATTAGATAACGGCGTCGACTTATCGACTGGATGAGGATTTATTCGTCGGATATCGCTATCCACCCTTCGTACAATTGGGCCCAGAGATGATCTCTCGGTTGTTCAAGAGAGGTGTTCGCTAATCCAAATGGCCGGTCCTACCTCATTATATATCTTATATTATTATATAATTACCAATGAAATATCTATTTTTCTCTATTTCGAAAAATTGATATCTTCACACGTGAAAATAACATGTTGCTTTCACGTGTGAGATAACACCATTGCGATGGCTATTCAAACAAAAACAAAAAAAACAAAAAAAACGGAAAGAATTGCCTGAAAAACTTCATTGATAATTATATAATAAACAGAAGATTACATGGCCGCTTGGAGATACGAATTTTATCTTCTCGTGTTGAAAATCTCTCACGAGTGAACGTAGCGATCTTTTCAACACTCGAAGATAAAATTCGTATCTCCGCGCGCCCATGTAATATCCTCTATTTATTTTCTTTCAGAGTGGATCTTGAAACCATTGTTCGTTTTACCCTGATGGTTCGTAAGTGTTACCGAGACATTCCCTATCATAACTGGGCACACGCCTTCTCAGTTTCGCACAGTGTCTACATCCTTCTTCGTAAAAACAAGAATCTCTCTCCACTCGAGGTAAAATACAAGACACTTAAAAGTATATTACAGTAAATGTATAGCGCAGTTTTCATACCAGTGGTAAAGAAACGGCAAATTTGTAGTCGTACTGTAGTCGTACAATATCTTAACCGTAACCGTAACTACGCGCTGTGATTGGATAAGTTACTGATACACAATGGGAAACAATTTCAATGTTGCGTTATGTTGTTCTAGGGCTCTATCTGTGAGTTAGCCTTGCCCTAACTTATAGATCAATCCAGAGGTTGTTTCAGGGTTCGATCTGTGAGTTAGCCGTGCCCTGACTTAGATCGGCCCAGTGGTTGTTCTAGGGTTCGATCTGTGAGTTAGCCATGCCCTGACTTAGATCAGGCCAGAGATTGTTTCAGGGTTCAATCTGTGAGTTAGCCATGCCCTGACTTAGATCAGCCCAGAGGTTGTTTCAGGGTTCAAACAAATTGAGGTTTGGTTTCTCTTTATTTCTGTTGTAGAAACTCTCTCTGTACATAGCCGGGATCTGCCATGACGTGGACCACCGCGGGAAAAACAACGCATTTATGCTGCAAACCAAAACACCTTTAGCCAACCTATACACTACGTCTACTATGGAATGGCATCACTTCCATCAGGGCGTCTTTATCTTAGAGGTATATAATTTGTTAGCAAATTAGGTTATCAACGCTGTTACTGATTTGCTGTCATGTTGGTTTAATTGAACAGGGGAAAAAATCATTTTCCCGCCGGAGCCGAGCGCGCTGAACATTTTAAAATTTATCTTATAGGTAATTTTTGGGCTGCAGTAGGTTATTAACGGTGTTACTAGTTTAATAGCCATATGCGTTTGTATATGAAGAGAGCCAAATTATTCTCCCGCCCTTTCTTACAAGTTGTAATTTTATTTTTTAGAATGAAGGACACAACGTGTTTGGACACCTGAATCCAGTCGATTATCGAAGCGTAAGTACCAGGCATCGAGCTACAAATATCTTTTAAAGAATAGTTTTTACAGGTTACTCATTTTTTATTATAATTGCTTCTTGATGCCTTGATAGGTTCTCGAAGGACTTCAAGAAGCCATTCTCGCCACCGATCTGGCCTTGTTTTTTGGCACTAGAAGCGACCTGGAAAAGATCCATCAAGACAATTCCTTTGACTGGGAGAATGAAGAACACAGGTCAAGTTTAAGTTGTTTCTTAAGCATTTTTTTTTTTTTTTTTGCTTTTTGCACACCTCTAATAGAGCATTTTTTTATCCTTTATGAAGTTTCACGAGACGATTCGCAACGACCATTTTTTGCGCAACAATGTCTCGCGAAAAATTGTTCTCGTGTAACAAGGCGCGCGGTTACAATTTTTAACGATATTTTGTTGCAGCAACGTGTTAGAATTTTTGAACGACCTTTAAGACTCACAACCTTGTTGCCATCGATTTGTGTTGCCGCGCGCAATATTGTTGCTCTAAAAATCGTATCGTGTAACATGACCTTAATGGTGCAGTGCCCTACCGTGACTGTGACAGTGCCATTTCCGAGTGTTCTGATTGGATGAAGATCAGCCACCCTTTAAATCTCACAACATTATTGCCATCGATTTGTGTTACTGCGCGCAATGTTACAAAAGGTCAACTTTTACCACAACAATGTTGCTCTAAAAATTGTTTCGTGTAACGAAACCTTATGGTGCAGTTCAATGACTGTGACGGTGCCATTTTTGGGTATTCTGATTGGATGAAGATCAGCCTCGCGTGCTCTTATTATTTCAAAAGATATCGTCAACTCTGTGCAGTGAGAATAATCATACCTTATTTCACAGACATACGAAATCTAATATATGTTCCCAAGCATTTCAAATTACTTTGACATATTTGTATTTCTTAATTTACAGAAGTTTAATTCGTCGCTTGATTATGACGGCATGTGACCTTTGTACCTCGGCAAAACCTTGGCACGTTCAGAAAACAGCTGTTAAATTGGTTTTTGAGGAGTTCTATACACAGGTACGTTTAAAGATGCGGACATCAAAGGCCTGCAACTTGTAGAACAACATTGTTAAGTCATATGTTGCAGAACTATTGTTGGAGGGGAGGGGTGTTTGAGACAAGTAGGGTGATTCTTCCCCCCCCCCTCCCCTCCCCTCCCCTCACCTGGATGTGATTAAATCGTGGGCTGATCGAAATTATTCCTTCAGGGTGATGAGGAAAAACAGAAAGGAGTTGATCCGTTGCCGATGATGGATCGCACAAGAAAGAAAGAGCTTCCTCAAAACCAGGTCAGCAGCTTAGCGCGGAACTTTTGTACAGTGTTACATACAATGTTTGTATAAACAGTACGACCCCTTATGAAGATTTCCATTGACTGCCCTCTTATTGGTCATAGATGACCTAAGAATGTTCAAAACTCACGTGGAACCACGAGTGCACTCAGTAAAGTTTTGAACATTTTAAGACTTTCATTCGTATCGTTTCCCACTCATGCAAAAAACTGCTCTACGATCTACGTGCTGTTCATTACAAAAAGTGTTCCCCACATGAAAACCACTCATTACCCAAAGAATACTTAATTTCTTTTCCTTTTCTCACAATGTCTTAAATCTGTAGGTGGGATTTCTCAAAGGTATTGTCAAGCCATGTTTTCTTTTGCTACAATGTTACATCAACGACATGGAACACCTGATGTACAACATTGAGTAAGTAGAAAAATGTTTTTCTTTGTAGTACTTTAAATTGGTAGCTTTTTCAACTGGCTTGCGTGAGCTGACTATGCAAATATGACACCCCCTCCCCTCCCCTCTTTCAATTGGATCAAACTACAGTTTACTAGCTTAGTGAAATTCCAATAGACTCCCACGGCTCGGGCATAATGTTTTCCCATTTCAGACTAAGTATTGTTCCTTTGAGAAAAAGATTCTGTTTGAGCTACATCCATATTCCTGTGCCTTCTCATGCACAACTGTGCATAACCAAAGAAATGATACTCAAGGGAATGACACATGGTCTGAAATGGGAAAAAATAACACCCGAGTCTAGGTCTATTCCATCGCAAGTGAAAAGCAAGCCTTAGAATGCTTTAACCAAGCCATGCCCACTCTTATTCACCACCATCATGTTTATACCTTTCAGAAACAACTTAGCCCAATGGGAGAAGATCGACCTGCGCCAGAGATCCCAAACACAATTACTCATACCAGAGGAAGAAAGAATCCAGCGCTCATTATCCTTCATTGATTATTAAGATATTATTAGAACCATTTATTTTATAACCTTGTATATTATCCAAAAGACCTGATCGTTGAATCACATCTTCCAAGAAGAGAAATATTTGTAAAAAGTTTTGTACAAAAAGCTGCACAAATCTAGTAAAGATATTTTATTTTTCTAAATTCGTTTTTTATTGGTACCCTTGACTGTAACTTTCACAAGTTTTAAGGCTGCGTTCATAATGTGTGGCAGGGGGAGGGGGGGGAGGCAGGTGAAAATTTGAAATGTCCAGAATATTTTTTTAAACCCCCCCTTAAAGTCATGCAAAAAAATACGATCCCCCCTAAGCAAGGCTTGTAGTTTCTTCCAAAAATTGTGCATCCCCCCCCCATTTTTCTGATAAAAATTTTCCTATCCCCCCCTTTTTCCTACCAAAATTTTCCCAATCCCTCCCTTAATTTCAAATTCCCCTGCCCCCCCCCCCCCCCCCCCCC